GTTGGTATCATCATTAGAGATTACTACTACTTTCATTTTTTGGGAGACGGTTTTCAAGGTGATCTCATACCGGCCTAAACAGGCTAATTTGAATTGGGAGACTCTGAAATTTCGCTAGAAATGTCGGGCGCTGCCAATACACAGTTTTTTATTCCAACAAGCTGAATAAATTGCATGCAAAAGTTTCACCTTTCTTCGGTCTTTTAAAGGTTTAGCAATTATATTCTGTTAACGTTTGACGGAGTTATGATTTTTTAAAATACCTCCTGCCGAACTCCGGAATGTGCGAAGCATAACATACCAAAAGTTAAAAGCTCTTTTCTCACATGTGGGACCTGATCTAGGATCGAGTCTATGATTACTCCAAAGTACTAACATCAATGTAAAAATGTATGGAATAAAATTTGTGGGCACTCTCCACTGCGCGCCATACAGAGCTCCACGAATTTGCCAATTATTCGCCATTTTGATGGTAAACAAAGATAACGACGGTCGCACCTGTAACCAATTTTCATGCACCGCAAACGCTTGGAAACAAAATAATCACCGCTACAGGTCAAATAAGAGATTTTAAATAAGATTATCCTCAGTTTAGCCGTTGTTTCGAGAAAATTCTAAAAAAAATCTAGTATAAACGATGATTACCTTCCCACCATCGATATGCAAATTGTTGTTTGAGTCTATGTTGCGATGGGACAATATACGTTCTAGGGCAAATAATTTTTCCTTACCTGAGGGGGAAAATCTCCACTCAGCCTCTCAGTGAAGCTTTCCTTTAAGTTTGCGAGCTTCTTTCATTTGCCACGATGCAGTAACGCAATGGTTTTTTTTTTCCAAAGCTTTACTTGTTCGTTTCACTTAAGTGAATTAAGACGAGCCAGATTGGCTCTTTTGGCCAAAACCTTCTCTTCTCGAGAATTACCATACTGCCAAAAAATTTATTCCGCTGGACTCACGCTTTAGTTCAAAAAGTTTTGCATGGGTTTATTTTCGCTGGGGGTACTATCAGAGAGAATTTTGTTTCAAAATTCAAAATGCCAGCGTAGACGTAACGTGCACATAGGAATATCGCATATAATGGTAATTCTCCAAAATAATTTGGAAGACGGGAAATGTCTTAGATTTGAGCAACACGTGCACGCATTTTACATTATTTTTGAATTTTCGCAGGCAAATTCCAATCCCCAGGGCCAAAAATGGTGCTCAAATGCCTCAAGTTAGGGTCATATTGGGCGATCAAATGGCTTTTCGTATGCTCAAAAAAAATCACTTATAGAACAGAAATCTACGTGATTTGGAAATACTATTTTCATTTTTTTTTTGACACTTTAAATGAAGCATAGGGCGTTTGCGGGCCCTTCCACCCCAATATCAATGTCACTGACGGACATGATTTTCCCATAAAATCCCTCTTGGTCAACGTAACAAAAGGCGGAAATTTTGCTCAATTTGACCCCACCCCACCCCACCCTTCCCATAGAGCGCCAAATTCATCGCCCTATAAATTTAATTTTAAACAACGTGTGAACTCTCATTTCCACGATGCTTCCGCTGACTCAAAATAGGTTTAAACCACTTGTTAATACCTCTCCCCATCCCTATTGCTGAAAAGATACAACGACTGTTAGGACAATCAGCACTTAATGACTGGCGTCAAGGGAAACAGTGAGTCTTGTTCCCCGAGACCCCCAATGTTCCCCGAGGCAAAGTCTCGGGGAATATTGAAGTCGAGGGGAGGGGGGAATTTGACAATGTTGCTCAAAATTTATAGGGTGATGAATTTGGCGCTCTATGGGAAGGGTGGGGTGGGGCAGGGTGAGGTGAAATTGAGCAAAATTTCCGCGTTATGTTGCAATGATCAAGAGGAATTTTAAGGGAAAATAATTTCCGTCAGTGACATTGCTCCTGGGATGGAAGGGCCTGCAAACGCCTTATGCTTCATTTGAAGTGTCAAAAAAATATCGTTTCCAAATCACGTAGATTTCTGTTCTCTGAATGATTTTTTAAGCACGTGAGGGGCCATGTGATCGCCTAATATGACCCTAACTTGCGGCATTTGAGCACCATTTTTGGTCCGGGGGATAGGAATTTGCCCCCGAAAATTCAAAATATAAAATGCGTGCACGTGTTCCTCAGATATAAAACTTTTCCTGTCTTTCACATCGTTTTTGCTCATGGATAACGTAGTCTTCCATGAGCGTAGAAGGCAGTCCAATGGCCCTTACTCACTCACTCACTCACTCACTCACTCACTCACTCGATTCTGATTAATTTATTAATTAAAGTTGGATTAAACATTTTTTCCTGCTACCTCACCTGCTGAGTATTGTTTTTGTCCCAAAGACGTCTGCGCATATGTTTGGCAGGTTTTATGGGGGTATTGGAAAGGCGTTAATTTATTTATTACGCATAACACGAGAATTTTATTCCATAGAGCTCATTTGAAGAAATCTCTACGCTTTATTTTCACTTGTGAAAAAAGCCTGTACAGCTCTTTCACGTGTTGAATTATAACCAATCAACGATAGCGTAAAGGCCTTTCCGAGCCAATCACAATCGTGCATCGTTTACATTCAAATAGATTGAGAATTACTTTTATATGCGGTATTCCTGTGTGTACTCGCGAGGCGGGTACTCCCAGAATAATTGGGTGGGGGTGTGCGGCCCGCTTCCTGAAACCCTTACCCTTTTTATGACCAAAATCTGCGATTTTCCCCACCCTATATTTGACCTGGAAAGTACCTTCATCTAAAAAGCATACACAGTTCAAGATTAGAGTTCAAAAACTATACCCTTATAAGGGAGTACCACCCCGGCCCCGCCCCTGGGAGGGTGTACGTTACAGTTTTTTACACGCTGACATTTTGAATTTTGAAACAAATTCTTTCTGATAGTACCCCCAGCGAAAATAAACCCATGCAAAATCTTTTGAACTAAAGTGTGAGTCCAGCGGCATTTTGGTAATACGGTAATTCTCGAGAAGAGAAGGTTTTGGACAAAAGAGCCAATCTGGCTCGTCTTAATTCAATTAAGTGAAACGAAAAAGTTTTGAAAATAAACATTGCGTTACCGCATTGTGGGAAATGAAAAGAAGTTCGCAAACTTAAAGGAAAGCTTCACTGAGAGGCTGAGTGGAGATTTTTTCCCCCTCAGGTAAGGAACAATTATTGAGTTATTTTTTTGTTTAAAAAATACCTCTTAGTCGGCACGTCGGGTATGTTATGGACGGGTCAATGGGTGGGTGGGTGGGTGGGTGAGTGAGTGAGTGAGTGAGTGAGTGAGTGAGTGAGTGAGTGAGTGAGTGAGTGAGTGAGTGAGTGA